GAGCACAGAGTTGACCACAGACCATGCTCATGCCAAGTTACCGGGACCATATCACCCTTTTCTGCCATGATAATGCATATTCCTATCATGATCCATTCAGGAAAACCCTGAAATCTGCTTCCAAAGAGCTGGCTGGGGGCAGACAAAACACATTGCTGCTGTATCCACACCTCCTTCCATGTAACCCAACTGTGTGAGGTGCTTTCTCAAAACCAAGTGCTGTTCCCATGTCAGTAAAGAGGGAAGTAGGAGCCTGACCCAAACTAGGGTGTTTGGAGGAAGGGCTGCTGGGAGACCAGAGCAGTTCATCAAGGCAAGGACATCACTGAGGTTTAAGTAGTCTTTGGATGAAGGCATGGCTGAATGGGGGCAACCTAAATCAAAACAAAAACACCTCACTAGGTTCTTATTTTCTTAGCTCTGTACCTTCTTCAGAAATTAGATCAAATAAAAATGCTATTACAGTCTCTCTGCTTTAATGAGATTGCAAAAGCCCCTGCAATATGGTTCTCTTGGTTGGCACAGGAGAGCACACTGAGGGAAGCAGTTCATCACCCAGATTGGACAGAGTATCTTGGTTCGTGCTTGTAGAATCCCAGGGTTGTTGTAGCTCTGCCAGTGTGGAAATATTCGGTCTCAGGAAGCAGCTCTGTGCTGAAGCCTGGGAGCTTCTCCTGCTCTGCTGAACACCAGAGGGGAAACCTGAGCCCAGTGGTGGGAGTAGTGCTGTCTCTGTTCATATCTCCAGCCGTAAGCAGGATTCTGCCTGTATTTAATAAATGTACACCTGTTCTTTCATTTCCCAGAAGTGTTCCCCGTGGTGCTAGAGACCACACGAGAGCACAAACCTCTCCCTACAGTAGCAAAATAATATCATGAAAGTCATGTTGGTAGGGTCCCTCTCTCACATCACTACCAGTGGCTGCCCAGAAACAAACCTCCTGAAAATTCAGATGCTAAAAACAGCTACATGAAAATCAAAAGCAGGAATTAAGAAGGAAGGAAATGTGTTAACTAGTTAATTAACTGATTGATGTTACTTTGTTGGTTCTTACTCTGCAGTCAGCACTGGTTCATTGAAACGTGCTTTCAAGAGAAATGATGCTAATTAAAGTATGTGACAGAATGGCCCAGGTAATAATTAGCAGGGGATGAAGTGACCATTCATTTTTTTTTTTTTTTTTTTGTCAGGCCTGCAGATAATTTGTATTTTTGTTTGTCTGCCCAAACCTTGGCTACCTGGAAAGATTTTCACTAAATGTAATGTCCAGATCCCCCCTGGCTTAAAAAGCAGCAGAAATCTGAGATACAACCAGCATTCATTTTCTATTATGCAAATACAGCTTCACAGTATGACACATCTGTAAAGCTTCATTTGGTTCCCCCCTGGCACAGTAAGCATCTGCAGCTTTAATGTCTTTGATATACTGTTTTTGATTAGATTAAAGATGATATTTATAGTAATTTCAGTAATGTCATTATCTGTCACTGGAGTATCCTCCAACATTTTGTTTCCTCCATATGTTTTGCAGAAGGGATAATGAAATTTGACTGTCCTGCAGCTTGTGTATAATAGCCTTGTTGGGAGCAGGGTTCCATGGGATCAGGCACTATTCTCCAAGGGAAAATGCTGGTGATCTGGTGCGCTCTGTAAACTGTGCAGACAGTCCTGCCCTCTGCCTCCCCTGTGTCCTTCCTTCCCCATCCCTCCAGAGATAAGGTCCCCTCTCCTGTTGGCTGGCTGAAAATGCACTTGTCTGTGGGGCCAGGTTGGGAGGGACAGATGGAAGGATGGATAGGTGGGAGGGTAAGACATGAAGAGTGACTGCAGATCACTATTATATTTAGCAGAGAGGAAAAATCCTGGGGAATATGATGACAAGCAATAAATACCTTCAGTTTAAGAGTTTAAACAAAGGTGGGGAATTATTTATAGAAGGAGAGCAAGTGTTGGCCAAAGGTCAGGGAAAAGAAAACAGTTTCAGACTTTTTTTGGCATGGGGAAAGTAGCTGGTATGTAGCACATTGCCAAGACCAGAGGGGCTGAGGCATATGTTTGTAGCCATGCAGGATAAGACCATGGGTTGGGGTTACGTGGTGACAGTCCTGAGGGTGGGAGAGAGAAGCTGGACATGCAACCAAGTGATTTTCTCTTCTATTTCTGATCCCCAGCCTCCTTCTGCAGAGCACAGATGCAGCTCTCCAAAAGCACTCCCACATGGCTTTGTGTAATTATTTGTGGGAATAAACACTCCAGTTTTGGGATTGTTCTAGATTCACTTTCCTGAAGTCGAAAATATACCATGTTACTTGAAAGAGTAATGTGCTGGCATTTATGATGGGCAGTGGGCATACTGGAGGTAAACTGTTATTGCAGAATTCCACATATAAACATTAGCTCCCCAAGAGGTGGCTAGTGAAAATATATATGTGAGTGACTTTGTTTAAGTGAAAGAAGACTGCTTGACTTTGCTTTAATCTTTGATGGTGCTGAAAAAAAGGGATAAAATTAAAAAACTCCAGAAATATATCCCAAAACCATTTAGAGGGACAAAAAGAAATAGATAATTTGGAGTATTGCACTTAAAGGTGCATTCCTAAGTTGTGCATGCTGAAAATCTGACTCACTGTAACATCAGCCCAGGCAGAGAGGGTCCAGCCCCAGCAGGGAGGGCTGTGGAGAATGTGAGGGAGAGAGGTCTCACTAGTCTCTGGAGCATCCATGTGCCAGGTCCTGGAAGCAGCAGGGGCACACAGAGCCCAATAGCCTCCCCTGGTCAGCTGAAGATGATGGAGATGTCACCTGATGGCAGCTGCAGTTGATCATGGTGATCATGAACCTTCCCAGGACGGTGTCACCTTGATCAGCTTAGCACCAAAAAGGAGAGATATTTTAATTTAGAACTTGCAGTGTCCCACAGTCTAAGGCAAGTTTTGCCCCTAACATGAACAGATGAAGTCACTGCTGGTTTAAATGGACATGGCACACGCACATCATGAGGGGATACCAACCACAGTGGTGGGTCCCACTCTTGTACTCAGCCAGTGTGCTGCTCTGAGCTAAGAGCAATAATAACCTTGCTTTAGTCCCTTCTAGCCAAGGAAGAGAAGCTTGCCAGGTGATTGTAATACAGGTTCTTCAAGCCAATTGTCTTTCTCTGGTTTCATACTAGCTTAAGCTGAGAGCAAATGATTGTCTCATCAGTCTAATCAGAGCTAGAAAGTCCTTTCAAGCAGCAGTTCCCTTGGGAACAGCATATATGTTGCAATCAAACTGTATTTCACCACCAGATCTTTTTACAAGGGTAATAGGGCAAACGGTGATATTTTTTTTTTTTTTTTTTTTTTTTTTTTGCAAATGCATGTTGCATTTATGGCAATGAAAATGTAATTTGAAAATGAAAACTCAAAATTTCACTTGGAAACTGTCAAATACAGCTGTTTACATTTCTGAAAAACAAAGCTTCCTTACAAATTCTGGTTCAAAAGATACATGAATCATACTTACGTATTTTCATATGTAGTCATAGGCAATGAAATATATTCATATCAGTATATTTGAAGATACACTTGTATTTTGCATATAGCCATTCCATTAGTATTGTGAATATTTTAATTTATCACCAAAGTCAGTTTGTAGGGACTGTAGTAATCCATATATTTATCTAAGATGTACAAGTACACCTGTAATCCTGTCTCCTGTGCTGCTGGCTTACTCCTTGCACTAGTCCTTTGAAACCTCCCAGGCACTTTCTACTCCTTCTTTTATTAATTTTTACCATTCAATCACTATCCCAGTTTCATCCAGCTCTGGTTTACCTTCTGGTTCAGAAACTCATTTCACTGGCTTGCACACCTCTACCCTGAGCAAGCACCTTCCTTCAGTGGGCTCAGCCTGGGCAATGTGGGGCTTTCAGCCCAGCACGCCTCAGAAAATATGTGCCCACCTCTGATTAGCCCATGGCTACCTCATATTCTCCTGCATTGCTACCACACAGGGAGAGCATGGGCTCTTCACACTGAAGATCAAGGGTTTGAAAGGAGAAATTGTGATTGTTTTCAGATCCTTCAGTTCTCCATCCTGATTAACGTTTCATATGGAAGAAGTTTATGTAAAGCTGATGTTCACAGGCTTTGCATCATGCAACATCATTCCCTGCTAAGCAATTCTTGTCAACACCTATAGTCTGTTTCTTTGTTGGACTCTTGGTGAAAATTGTTGAAATTCATGTTTTAATGTTCCTTCTCCTATTATTTATAATATAGTGACTTACCAGTGACAACTAACCGAAACAGTTCTAGGTAGATATTTAATTTTCTGTATATTTTGAACATGAAGTTTTCTCTTTTTAAAGAAGAGGATGCTTAGCTTAGCAATCTCAAAATGTAATTAAAACATTAAAAAAAGAAAATTTTATAGCTACCCTCCAGATGTTCTAAAGATTTCCTGTAGAGTAGAAAAGATGTGATCTGTTTCTGAAGTCCTCACAGCTTTCAGCAATATTCACTGTCTCAAGCTGCCAGAATTTACTGTCTACTGAAGATAGAAATTTTTGAGAAGAATTAGGAGATGATCCTTTTAACCTCATGTGTTACAGCCCAGAGAGGTTATGAGCCGGTGTCCCAGCCATACAAGATGTTCTCAGTTGCATGAGATTTGTCTGCTGTCAGTCACCCTCATCTTCTCACCCCTCATGCTCCTCGGTAGCTTGTGTCATGGGCTGATTTCTGACTGTCCCTTCAGCAAGGCCACTCCACATCCCCCCATCCCGTTGGGTAGTCTGTGGTGTTGAGGAATACCCAGGCTGAACTCCCTGAATGAGGCTGCCATCCACCATCAGCTCCTGTCTCCGTTTGAGATCAGACTGCCCTTCCTTCCCAGCCCTTTGAGCAGCGAGGCAACGCTGGCTGCCTGCCCCCAGTCTTCTCAGCAGACTCATCAGAGTGCCACATTTTCAGGGTTGCCCTTTATTCCCCCCCACCCCCCCAGCAGTGTAAAACCAAGTTTTTTAGGCAGAATCGCTTTTGCAAGGTTTGATGTTTCCACACCAGCCTGCTCCCTGAAGGGTCATAGAATCAATGGTTTGGGTTGGACCTTAAAGATCACCTATTTTCAAACTCCCTGCCATGGACAGGGGCATCTTCCACTGGACCAGGTTTCTCAGAGCCCCATCCAACCTGACCTTGAACACTTCCAGGGATGGGGCATGCACAGATTCTCCTAGCACCCCGTGCCAGTGCCTTACTGGTCCCAAAGAGCAGCCAAGGACTTTTGCAGCCTGTGAATCATAACAAGAAAACCTGCCATGGACAGTCTCAATCCCAGCTTGTGCACACTCCCATTGTCTCTACCAGAGCTGCTCAGGAACCAGGATTTTGCCATTCTGCAATTTGCAGTGCAGTGGGGGGGGAGTAGTCCTCAGTCCCAGCAGGGAGATTTGCATCCTGCAGTGTCCCACAAAATCCAGCACCCCTCCAAAATAAATTGCAGAGATACCAAAACATAATGTGTTGGTGTGTTCAATTTCCTTTTTGTTTTCTCTCACACGCCAAATGATATTTGTGTATGAAAACAGAAAAAAAAAAAAATCAAAATTACCAGAGCTGAAATTGAGAAGAGAAGGAAGATTACAGCATTTTCCCATCTCACCAATATTGGTAACAACCCTACCCCACAAAATATTTAGCCGAAACTGCATTTTGCCAGAGAACTATTTTGCCTAAAGAGAATTTTGAACATTTTTCCCCAGCTGTTAGTTTAGTTTTGGGTTTTTTTTTTTTTTTCATCTCAGTCCTGAAGAGCATGTATGTGTTTGGGATTATAATAATTTTGGGGTGAGCTGCTCATCTGCACGATGCAGCCGGCAAATGAGCAGCTCGGTTTGCACCTCGTGGTCTACACACGCTGCGATGCCGCTGTCAGACGTGCCGGGATGCGCTCAGCGCCTCCGAGCCCCTTCCAGAGCATCACCTCCAAAGCCGCGCCCGGCACAAGCTCCGGGCCCCGCAGCCTCCCCGCTGATCTCGGATCACCCAAAATCCCGCTCCGGGGAGGAGAGAGGGGCTGTGCTGCGGGAATCCGCTTCTGCTGCACCGGCTTTGGCTCATTCTGGAGTCAACCTCTCTGCTTGGGCATCCTCCTCCGCAAATTGAGGAATAACAACACACTTCAGAGGGGCGGCGGGGTAAGGATTAACTGCGATGCCACTTTGAAGCGCTGTATACGTGCCAAATATTATAATCATCCTAAATGCGAGGCTGGGATAATCCATGTATTTTGGCAGCCCCAGAATCCTATTTTACTCCACCCGTTTTAATTAATAAATTTAATTTCGCATTATTAGGGAAAACAAGGATAAAAAATAGAGCCTGCATATGCTTTATTACAAATTATTGTTATCAGCTGCCCCGCAGGACTCCAGTCAGCACTAAATATGAACAATGGTTAAATTACAGGGGTCAGGGAATGAGCACAATCAAAATGCAAACACTTTTCTTCTACGTGAGATGGGCAGGAAAAAAAAAGAAGGGAGAATCCTTGGAACCTCCTTGGAGCCACTAGGACTGCGGAGAAGCATACCAAGTAAACTGTAAAACTGATTACTGGGCTCAAAAAGGCTAACATGCAATTTGTGTTCTTTTTATGTAGATTAAATGCATTCACTGCAGTTCATAGAGCTTAGATACTCAGCAGGGATTCAGAGGGCTGGGTATCAGTCAACCACAGCCAGCCTCTAAACCACAGGGCAAAATCTGCCATTGTACATTAGAATAGTCACTTAATCTATCTTAATGGGTGAAAACCCCATGGGACAAATGTATATTAAAATCAGAAAGTTCGTTGTAATGTTTGAGGAAAGCAGGTTTTTCTCTTTTGAGATAACACTGTAAAACATTATTAATGAGTCTGAAATCTTCTTGAACATCTTTATATTTAACTTTTGAAAATATAACTGCCCAGCAGCCCAGCTTGGTGGACTGGGAGGAAACCCAAAGGCATGAGACCAAAGGGCTGTGCCTGGAATAAACCAGGGAGGAATCAAACGGGATTTCCTTTGGATAACTGCTGTCTGATGGGTTTCTCTTGAGAACATGAAACATGCCAAACATGAAAGTCTAGGGACATGACTACCAGAATATTGGTGCTGGAAACAATAGTAGAGCCACCTTTTGGAAAACAACTCCAATAAAGATAATTTTTTTTTTTTTTTGGCAGGGCCTACTGAAACGCCATTCTGCATCTGCAGCAGAGCAGAGAAACCCCAACCTTCTGTCTTCTTTCAAGAACTCTGGGTTACTGGAAACTGAGAAGAAATAACACAACCTTGTCCTCTGTTTGAAAATGTTCCTGTTTATTTTGCTTGTGTCTGGGCTCTCCGTGGCCCCTTCTATCTTAGATTCCCCCTACAGAAGGTTTTCTCCCCCCCACCCCCGCTATTTATATCCCATTTAGAGTTAATTGGGACTGCCTGCCATCATGGCTCAGAAATAATTACTTTGCCATAATTATTCTTAAATCGGGATTTTTACACCTGTGCTAAGGATGGCTGATCAAAACACTGGCATTTCTACTTGTGGACCCTGAAATGGTGCTATGGGCAAGGACCCCAGCCCCCACGAAAAACCCCACAGGTACAGATTGGGGGGGAGATGCTTTAACAGTCATCCATCAACATTATTTTGGAAAAACCCTCCTAAAGCCTACAATGTCCATTTCACCTCAACTGGACATAGGATGAGGCCTTCACCAGCTGTCTCAGCTGCTTGGTTACTAGCTGTACATGGATGCTACTTCTGCCCAAGACATTTTTGGGCAGAAACTGCATTATGGTAAACCTCTGCTCCAGCAGCACAATGTGAGTTGATTAGTCTGAGAGACACACTGGGAACTAATGTCCTGACTCATTCTGTTAATCAGACATTTGCAGTAGCCTCCTAAAAATGTATTCGTATTGGCTGGAAGGAGGGCCCCAGTCAGCATGCAGCACTTGACCATGCAGGAAACCTGGATGACCTTGAAAGCCAAAGCAATAAAAGCAAATGACATTGAGTAGTGCTGAATATCAGGTCTTGCTCTCAGGGACTGAACAAGCACTGCTGACATAAGCTGGAGGCTCCTGTGTCAGAAACTACAGGTATGGCAGACAAGTGTGGGAGGGTCCATCAGGCACAGAATGGCTGGGAGTCACTGCTAGGAAGTGTTAATGCTCTTCCAAGAGCAGGGAGCAAAGGTGTTCCCAGCAGAGCTGGGGAAATAGCAGTGCTGCTGTCTCGTGTGAAGGTGAGGCACAGACCAGGTGAAGATTCATAGTTCTGGTTACACCTTCCTATAGGGAATTTTTTTTTTTTTTTTAATCTCTGGGCTAACTTCTGCATGATTTCTCCTCTGAAATCTGCATGTCTCAGACAGGAGCACGCAGCACAAAAATCTGTTCTATTCACAGCTGCCCTGCACATGTACAGACACACACACACACTCTTCAAGACATCTCTAGGTGTGATAGAGGGACTAGGGACTGAAGCACCTCAGGCCACTTGCACTGCTTGGTTAAGGGACATCTTCAAATTTCTCCTGTGCAGTTCATGTACCTGGCCCCGATAAGCTGATGCACAGATCAGTCTGCTGGGGCACACAGGGTGCCAGCCAGGATGGATCAAGGTCAGATGCCAGCTCAGGAAAGTCAGGCGTAGTCCTACTGCAAGGTTGCTGGTAGCAAAGGCACATGCTGCCTGCAGCACTGGCACCCAACCAGGTGGGATGGTGGGAGGAAATGGGATCTGGCCCGCTGTGCTGGGAGGCATGGGGGACAGAGTCCCCTTCACGCTCTGCAGCCAAGCAAACACTGCACTCCTGCCACTTCACTGGGATTTGCATGGCAGATCAGAAGGACAAATTTCTCTCTGGATGATTTATCACTCAACATCTCAGCAAGTTTTCTTCATAAAGTAAAGAATTTTTCAGTGCCTTAGTGCCTTGCAAGTCTTACCAAAAGCAGGATGCTTAGGGTGCCTCCTGTGTCCTGCTGATTTGCCTTATCTTCAAATGTGCCTCTGCACATTTGGTTGTCCTCCAGGACACAGACATGACTGACATTGTCAGTCACTGAAATTATTTTCCTGGCCTCTTAGAGAAGGTTAATTTTATCTGCTCTTTTCTCCTGGCTTAATTCTGTATTCTTTAAATGAAATACAAATGCAGAGCTGCCATAATCCTTGTTTTCTGTCACAGTTTGTTGCCTACCTGCTATGTGAAAAGCAGATTTCTGTTTTGATAATCACAGTTTGCCTATAGACTGCATGGCAGGGGCTACATGTTGCTTTCATTCAGACTACCCTGTTTTCAATATAACCTCCCAATCTTTTTCACCTGTTGGCCTTAACCTTCCACAAGCAATGAGAAGACCACTAAGAGTTGTGAAGTCTTATTTCCTCCTTGCTTCCATAAGGTCATCAAATTGCATACATCACATATTGACTGTGTCTGTTTTGCCATTTAATTTTGTTCAATAGCTATATCACACATGGAGGTAAAGTATGAACATCTGCTTCAGTACAAGAGCTTCAAGACCAGTCAAAGTCATTGTTATAATTTCACCTTAGAAACTTGTAAAGTCTGCATCCACCATTCTACTGGGAAATAGGCATTACTGTAGTCTATGTTTAACAACCCACTGCTTAACCCATTGCTGCACACCGATGTGTCATGAAAAATATACTGGGATTTAAAGACTACAATAACTTTTCTACCCATGATGTTGAAGAAGGGAAAGATCTGGAACTTGTAAAAGATTAGGTGGTTTTCAAAAACTCAGCCATTTTTCAGGAAGCACTGACTTTTAAAGTCCATTTTTGGAAAAATATTAAAGCTGGCCTTTCTATTACACCATTCAAGTATTAAATATGTTTTAAGTGAGGGGTTTTCTTCTGCATGTTAAATTTATCTTCCAGACATCACTCCTTTTGGTACTGTAACTAGAAGATGAAATTATAAAAGACACTAAATTACACAGTCTGAGATATTCTGGCTAATGTCTCTATTTTAAAAGCCAATAAACACAGTGGTATTTACAACTCTTGCCTGGAGAATGGCTTATCATAATTTTCTTTTATTAAAGATGTTTGAAGTATATCTCACCCTTCTCCAAGGACACAGATGTCCCCAGCAGTAAGGAAATCACATGGCTCCATTTCACTTTGATCCGTAACAGGGAAGAAAATTCCAAATACCCATTGTGGTGCTAGCCAACTGTCATGACTTCAGGTCACAGTCACCATCAAGCTGTCACATAATTATAGAACTGTGGAATCATTTAGCTTGGAAAATACCTTTAAGTTGATCAAGTCCAACCCGTAACCCAGCACTGTCAAGTCCACCACTACAGCATGTCTCTAAGCACAACATCTACACTTCCTTTAAATATCTCCAGGGATGGTGACTCAACCATTTGCATGGGCAGCCTGTTCCAATATTTGGCAGCCCTTTAACTAAAGACATTTTTCCTGCTTTCTAATCTAAACTTCTGCTGCACCTTGAGGCCATTTTCTCTCATTTGCTACCTGAGAGAAGAGGCTGCTCCCCACAGCTGGTTACAACCTGCTTTCAGGCATCTGCAGAGAGGTATAAGGTCCACCCTGATCCTCTTTATTCTCCAGGCCAAACAACCCCAGCTTTCTCAACTGCTCCTTGTCAGATTTTTGCTGCAGAAACTTCACCAGCTCCTTTGCCTTTCTCTGGACAGTTTTCTTCCTGAAATGAGGGGCCCAAAACTGAACACAGGATTTGAGGTGTGGCCTCACCAGTGCCCAGTACAGGGGATCAATCACTGCCCTGGTCCTGCTGGCCACACTATTGCTGACCCAGGCCAGGATGCCATTGGCCTTCTTGGCCACCTGGGCACACACTGGCTCATGTTCAGCTGGCTCCAGGTCCTTTTCCATTGGGTAGCTTTGCAGCTACTCTGCCCTCAGCCTGTAGCACTGCATGGAGTTGTTGTGGCTCAAGTGCAGCACCCAGCACTTGGCTTTGGTGAACCTCATACAATTGGCCTCAGATTGCTGGTCCAGCTTGCCCAGATTCCATCCAGTATACCCATCCAGGCTGTGAGCAGCCAGTTTCTACAGAATTCTGTGGAAAACAGTGCCAAAGGCTCATCAGCCTCTCTGTTGAATTATGCTCCATGCCTTGACTGTGGTAGTCAAACACGCTTTTGGAGTGTGTTTAGGTACAACATAGATATAAATAATTGACAACAGCTTATGTACATCATCACTTGTAAGGGATAATGTCAGCTCCAATAGGTTCATGCTACCCATGATTTGCATTACAGCTCATTGCTGGTTCTTGGGATTAATAGTGGTATGCACTTACATATGTGATATCTATCTATATTGTTACAAATTCACTGCTACCTGCTTTTTCATGGTCATTGCTAATGACACATCTTGCCTTCTAAGACTTTCTGATCCTGACAGCAATGAGGTCTAATCCAGCAGTGCTCTGGTTTTGGCTGGGGTAGGGTTAATTTCCTTCACAGGGCTTGTATGGGGCTGTGTTTTGGATTTGTGCTGAAAACAGGGTTGATAATATAGTGTTTTTGTTACTGCTCAGAGGGCCCACACAGAGCCAAGACCTTTTCTCCTTTTTCTACTGCCATGCTGGTGAGGAAGTTGGGGCTGCATGGGAGGCTGGGAGGAGACACAGCCAGGACAGGTGACCCCAACTGACCAAAGGGATATTCCAGACCATGTGACATCATGCAGTACATGAAATGGGGGAAGAAGGACGAAGAGGGGGATGTTTGGAAAGATGGAGTTTGTCGTCCCAACTCACCACACGTGGTGGGGCCCTGCTCTCCTGGAGATGGCTGAACATCTGCCTGACCATGGGAAGCTGTGAATTAATTCCTTGTTTTTCTTTGCTTGTATGCGTGGCTTTTGCTTTCCCTATGAAACTGTCTCTATCTCAACCCACAAGTTTTCCAGCTTTTACCCTTCCATTCTCTTTCTGATCCTGCTGGTGGGGTCTTGAGTGAGTGGCTGTGTGGGGCTTCGCTGCTGGCTGGGGTTAAACCACAAGAAGGAGGTAAAAGAGTTCTTTGTAAGACAACAAAAAAAATTGAAACAATTTGACTTCACACAAGTAAATTACATGGGTTGTGCTACATTAATGTAAAGAAAATATGCATATGCCAGATAATGGTGATGCTACATCAATCAGACATATTAGGGGAAAATGAGCAATGTGGGCTTGGAAACTTAAAAGTACTGTAACAGCTTCTGTATCCTTTTGCTGATAAAGGATACAAAAGGACTTGTCACAAATCCAGTTATCCATGCCCACAGAAAACCATAAAACCCCTCTGAAATGAGCCAAAATTGTGTTTTCAAAAACAAAGGTCTCTCATACTTAAAGTCCTTTCTGGGACCTATTCCAGATCTAAATGGAGTGTCACTAGGAAACAGGAAAGCTTTCTTTCCCAGTGCCACGGCCCTTTCATTTCTCTCCCTGCAAGATTAAATTTGAACATTGCACAGTTGGATTCTCTGCTTTCCCATCTTGTGCCATGCTTGTGGTGAAAGGCTGCCACGTCCAAACAGCAGTTCTTTGCTCCCTGTTTGCATTTCTCTGTATGGCTGCAGGATAAAAGCCTGAGCGTCAAATGATGTTATGTTTAAAGAAACTGGTAACTGGTCCAGCACTACATCTTTCTCATCTTGCCACATGGCCATGTAGTGTTCTGTGGAAATTCTTGTGTGCATGAAGGAAAAAAAAACTCAGTGGGTGAGCAGGTTGGATTATTTAGATGATGGTGACCTTTCTGGTTTAGTTTTCTGGTTTTAAATGTTGGCTGTTCAAAGGAATGTTAGAGTAAATCCTGAGAGATGGGATAAAAGTCAGAGGGCGGGGGAAGCTGTTGGTGGTGCAGTACAAATTAATTTAGGACATTGCTCTGCAATTTATCACTGAGGTCTCACCTCCATATATGTGGTGTGTGCTGCATATTTAGGGAGAGGGATGAAGTACAGTAGGGAAAATGGCTTCCCTCTTCCTCATACAGACAGTTTTATAAACTAGGATTTATTTACTAGCACACAGTATTGCTGTCAGGACACCTAAAACTATTTTGACCCATAGATTTTCACTGAAATAGGGGTAGACAGCTGGAGTTGTGCCTTCCTCAGAATGACATCTGAAAGGGGTGGCCTGGTGGCAGCATGCTTGGACTCGCTTCACTGCCCAAATCTTGGCTTTTTCATGAAACACCTAGTGTTTTACAAATAACAACCAGAGTGGCATTTGTGAGGAATGATAACAGCAACATAACTTTGAAAAAGATGGATATTTAACTGCTTGATTGCTGAGAGCTTGCCTGCAGAATGTGGAGGGGCACAAGACACTGCCAGATCACTTGCTCTGGCTCCACAATGGGAGTCACAGAGGAATACACCGTGCAAATTCCCTGTGAAATTACAAGGCTAAGTGCCTTGTAGGTAGGTTGTGAAAAGGAGGGTCCCTTTACCATGAGATCTGCCTATTTGCAGGGTGCAGAGGGTAGGCAAAATTTGCTTATAGCTGGACTGGGGAATTGGGGAACAATAAAAGGAAGAGGGTTTGCAGAAAGACATTAAGTCACAAGTCACAGCTTGTATTTGCCTAATCAGCCCCAGATGGGAGAGATTTGTAGGTGTGGTGGCTAAGGAAAGCTTTCAAGAGAAATTTAAAAAGATGGGAACAATGGGCTTTGCAAAACCTGAAGTATTTTCCTATGCATGGGGGTATGTGTGAAAGTGACTGACAGGGAAATGCATTCCAGGAGAAAAAGGCAGACCAGGGACAGAAGGAAAGAGCTTGAAAAGCTAAAGAACATTGAAGACAAATGTCTGTGCTTTGATATGATGAATGGCTGCACAGTCTGCTCTGAGCTGCACATGGCTGTAGCACTGAGGAGTGATGGCTGTCGTGCATCACTCCACTTGGTAGTCACTGGGGCAGTACCACCACCACCTTCCCACCTTCTTTCTTAAACCCCTGCTCTTAGTAGAAAACAAACAAACAAACAAAAGTTTCCTATTATGTCATCTTTAAAGATTTGTTGAGATGCTGGCTCAGAATCAGAGGTTTTTACAGAACAAAACTCTGTCCCTCTAAACTCCATTTAAATTCCATTTCAATGGGTAATGCTATCAATTCTTTCACTAAAAATTCAGAAGGAGCTGCCTTTAGAATAAGTTCCATTTTCTGGATTACAGAGTGTGCTTAAATCTGTCTGTGGCTATATTTATTACAGTTCCTTTTTTTCCAGCTTGCTTGAACTCTGAAAGGGGAAGGTCAACTGATACAACCTCATAAAATCCCAGTGCAAATGTAGGGACTGTCAGGAAATTTCATAAGTTTAGGATTTCTGTCATTTCAAAAAGAGAAATTGATTGTCCTTTTCCCATTTGCCTGGAACAGGTGAATGAAGATACTTCTGAAGCAATAATTTATTGTGTCTTCAGGGATTTAGTGAAGCATTTATGAATATAGTCCAAAGTCTCTTGACATTGGCTGCTTGATATGTTACCACATATTTTACACAGGAACTCAAAGAGCAAACTTGGCTTTCTGTATGAGGTCATAAACACTAGAAAGCCCTGTGCACAGTGAAATGGGCTACCAGGTGGTGCATCCAGAGGGGCTTTAAGCTCTTCTTTAAGCCCTCCCTGACCCCCTACTACTCTGATCTGTTCCATCTGTGGGATATCCACCAACACCTGACCTTTCTGTGGGATACTCCACTCCACTCTACAGCAATGGACTCATTAAGTGAGAGAGGAGATGGGGACAGGCTGGGCACACCTGTAGGACCTGAGAAGGATGGGGCACTCACATGCCTCCAGCACTCACAGGAGACTGGAGGCATGTCCCCAGTTCCAATCTGAAGACGTGTTAAATCATCGGTCAAATGGAGGCTGCAAATTGATATCTGCAGCTGACAAGGCTCAGGAGGAAATTCCTTTAATTATGCTAGGAAGAGCATGATTAAAGGAGGTGAGAGGGGTAGGTGTGCAGGGTGAGGAACAGCAGGGGACTCATTTCTGTC